GGACAAGGTGCGTTTCTATAAGTCTTCCTACCATTATGACCAAGTTGCGAAAACAGGGTCAAACAACTTCATTACAACTAGTGTTTATTTCACCCTTGATTCGCCTCCTACATAATTGCCGCAGGCACGATTTCTCGTCTTAGCGCTTGTTGGATTTTTATGAGGCGCGGTCTCACACCCTATGATATTACATGAAAGACGAATATTTAGAACAGACTCATCTGAGTCAATGCACAAATACAGTCCAACCTTGTCCACCTTTCCAAACGAAATAAGTAAAGAAAAAAAATCCCATGTACATTTTTTTTGAATTTATTAACCTAGACAGGACGTTCGCGTGCTGTGAGATTAATTAGTACGAGTATAAAAACCCTGGAAACATCGATATGAGCAAATTTTATGCGAAAAAGTTTATGTATATTCAAATATTTAATAAAAACGGTAATGGCAAATTAAAGGAGAGACTAAACCACCTGGAATTCGTGAAGCGGCCAGTTCCACTGCGGCCCCCACGGCGCGATTTGTTCATGCCTTCAAAGCGACGCTCTTTGCAGCCAGTCAAACTAGGGCTAGAACTAGCACCAATACCACTAGTAGTCGTAGGTAAGGGAACAGCTTCAGTCTTGCTAGCAGTGCTAACTGGTTGTGTTGATTCAGGTTGATCTCGAGACTCGCCACGCTGTTGTTGCTGACGTTGCTGCTGCTGCGGGGGTTGCAGAGGCTGCGACTGGACAGGTGGTGAAGTAGAGTGAACACCTGGCTGGAAGGTAGAGGACACTGTAGTGTGCGGTTGTGGCGCTGATAGAAGAGACGCCAGAGGCTGACCAGCATTAAGAATGGAGGGTGCAGGAAGAAGTCCAGACGCATTGTGACCCCTCGATCTATCGGATGGGTTGCTAACAACCTGTTCTGCTCCGCTACTTACATGCAAAGGCGCCTAATATGGAGAAAATGAATAATGAACTTTACATGGGATTAAGTGTTCGCGCCTAAAAGATGTTTTAATGGGACAGTTGACATAACATAGTACTGACAAACAAGGAAATGTCTGTGAAACAGACACAGGTTAACTCTATAGTTTATAAGAGCTAGGAATGGAATATCTTGAACTCTTGATAAAGCCAACAATACTGGTTGCATTTAAATTGGCAGGAGACTCAAAATTCCGAACTCTGATTACGAGTATTCCCGAGTAGAATGAAAAATAGTAGATCGTAATTATGGAGACCATGAATACTATGGCAGATGATGCAGGACTAAGTACGTCCCACAGGGTCTCTCTTTCTTTGAGTTGCAAAGGTCAAACTGACACTAAAAAGAATGGATCAAATGGCTATTTCAGGAAATGATGAAACAATAATTTCAACTTCATCAAGTTACTCGAAAGTGATATCGATTTAACTAGATTTAAAGCAGGGAAATGCTTTATTTCATGTCTAAACTTAAACGTGGGGTTAAATATTGTAGAAGGTTCAACTTAATAAATACATTTTGTGCTTCAAACATATGTATAAGAATCGTAACTCTTGGTGCATCAGTGATAGAAACAATGTACAAGAACAAGAAACCCGTAATGATGTGCATAGTCCTTTGAGAAAGCTAGGTTTACGCTCCATCGTTCTCCTCACCTTAAAAAATAATTTTCCCTAAAATTGCCACGTAGGTCCCACCGTGCTATTAAATTCAACTTAGATTGCCCTCCCAAAAGATATTCTCATTAAAAGTGAACTGCAATTCCAGTGGAGAAATCCAACTATCAACCTTTCACACTTTAAGCGATCTAGGACAATTTGTTATTTTTGACTGAGTTCAAAGGTCAAAATTAGGAACTAGAAATAGAGTTCTTACTTTTTTATTATTAATTTACTTGAAGTGCAACGATACTAAACTAGCATACCTTTACGACACAATTTTCAAAAGGAAAAAGTGGGTTTCGATAAATATTCTAAGATAACATTGCTGCGGAATCTAATTTTGCATGGAAATGTATGAAGAGATTGGTAGGTTGGACTCAACAGAAGACTATGTTAAGGTTGATACCGCCCATAAGACATCTCTCGTATCAGCTAAAACTGGGCTGAGATTCCGTCTGTCATATGATTCTGGACTTATCCAAACATAGGTATTCTTCGTATATACAGCGGATGTAAGGTGCTTCTTATAATTTGTATACTCGCCACATTAAGATCGAGTCAATAGTAATAGACATTTAAAAATTTTATTTTTTGTGGTAAAGTTCCTAGATGTTTTCTTGGTAGACTTTTTGATTTACTTAGTTGTACTAATAGCGAACTGGACTAGATAAACAGTGCTTTGGTAAAAACTAAGCTTAAGGAAAGCATTGGCGAGTTACACGAATCGATTAGAAACGATACCCGATTAAGACAAGTCCTTTATCAGAAATGTAAATGTAAAGGACCTTCAAAATTACAAGACATGGCTGACGGATTAGAAGGAATCTATAAGATGACTAGAAAAGTACATTAGGATCCGTTCGAGGATAAATAAAAGGAGTTCTAACAAATTTTGCAAAGGTAAAACAATTGAAGGTATGAAGACCAAGATGGTGTGATCACAGTCTTCTTTCGTTGTATAGAAGTTGTTTGACCTTGTTTTCGCAACTTGGTCACATTGATAAGAAGACTTAGATG